CAGGAGCAGCAGCAGGAGCAGCAGCAGCTGCTGCATGTTGCAGCTATGTTCGGCAGCACTTCTCCCTTTGGGGCCTCAACAGCAGGCCAGAGCCTCTTCGGCTCTCAGCAGCAGCAGCAGCCGCAGCAGCAGCAACCTGCTGCTGGGGGCCTATTTGGTGCTGCAGCACAGACACAGCCAGCTGGCAACGCCCTAGGAACAGGTGAGGAGACACCGCAGCAGCAGAAAGTAAAAAAGGAGACAGCATATCAATAAAGGGAGACAGTATTGTGTGGGGTTTAGCCGGGCCTGCTGCTGTTGCTGCAGCAGCAGCTGAGCAGCAACTGCTGCTGCAGTTGCTGCTGCAGTTGTTCCTGTTGCTGGTTTGTGTGTTGCTGCTGTTGCATGTGCCGCTGCTGTTACATCTGCTGCTGCTGTTACTTCTGCTGCTGCATGCGTTCCTGCTGCTGCTGCTGCTGGTGCATGCGTTGCTGCTGCTGCTGCTGCATGCGTTGCTGCTGCTTCTCAGGTCTGTTTGGGCAGCAGCAGCCGAGCGGTGGGGGCCTCTTCGGCAGCTCCGTGGGTACTGGGGGGGGCCTCTTCGGGCAGCAGCAGCAGCAGCAGCAGCCGCAGCAGCAGCAGACAACGGGGGGTTTCTTTGGGGGAGCAGCAAACAATACTGCTGCAGCAGCAACTGGGGGCGGGCTGTTCGGGGGCACTGCTACGGCCTTTGGGCAGCAGCAGCAGCAGCAGCCGCAGCAGCAGCAAGGGGGGCTGTTTGGGGGCGCCACAGGGTTCGGGCAGCAGCAGCAGCCAGCAGCAGCAGCAGGAGGTCTCTTTGGCAGCAGCAACAACAAATTTGGACAGCCGCAGCAGCAGCAGACCACTGGTCTATTCGGCAGCACAGCAACAACACCAGCAGCAGGAGGGGGACTCTTTGGTGCTGCTTCATCTACCTTTGGGCAGCCGCAGCAGCAGCAGCAGCAGCCGCAGCAGACCACTGGTCTCTTCGGCAGCAACACCACAACCGGGACTACAGGGCTCTTTGGTCAGCCGCAGCAGCAGCAGCAGACCACTGGTCTCTTCGGCAGCAGCACCAGCAACACAGCAACCGGTGGAGGCCTCTTTGGTGTTTCCAGCAGCACAAATGCACGTGAGTCAGCTACTGTCTCTTTTGTCTCCTTTTCTCTGTCTCCTTTTGTCTCCTTTTTTCTGTCTCCTTTTGTCTCCTTTTTTCTGTCTCCTTTTGTCTCTGTCTGTGTCCTTTTGTCTCTGTCTGTCTCCTTTTGTCACTTTCTGTCTCCTTGTCTCTGTCTGTCTCCTTTTGTCTCTGTCTGTCTCGTCTCTTTCTGTCTCTCTTTGTTTTTTTTCTTTTTTCTTTTTCTCTGTCTCTCTTATTCCTTTGCTTGTCTCTCCTCCTCCTCCATGCTGCGTCCCTGCCTCAGCAGCAGCAGTTGCTGCAGCAGCAGCAGCAGCCCTTTCGCCCCTTCAGCGTCGAGGATGGGGCTGTTA